TTGGAAAAGGAAAGAAATATGAGAATGTCTTATAGAAAAAGCAGATTGTTAAAAACGATAAAGCTAGGGCCGGCCTGTAGCTCACTTGGGAGAGTGTGGCGCTGATAACACCAAGTCAAGGGTTAAGATCCCCTTACCAGTCATCTTTAAAAAAAAACGATAAAGCTACACCAATGTGCTAATTTACACAAATAAGTTCCATTTCTTGCCAAAAGAAATTTAAAAGCTATACAGCTCTGTTTGTGGAGCTAAAGTGCTTCCCAACTACCACCTGGGCAAAAAAAGGACTAGTGCAGGACTAGTGCAGGACTAGGGTTGCAAGAATCAAAAGCAATTTTTTAATTTTTTAATTTTTAATTTTTTTGGTGGCTAGCCAGAACAGGAATTGAACCCTAGGCATTGCAGTTGCTGCTACAAGAAAATAACATTGCAGAGCCATATGGCAATGAAAACAATTATAGAATGTCTTAAAACAAGTAAAAGGATGAAAAAACCGAAAAACCAACTCTTCTAAGATCCATAAGAGATATGAGGTCACAGGCAAACTGCTATCCCCCAAATTGAACAGACAGACAGGTAGATACAGAGAATTACATCTTACCAGAGCAGAAATCCAGGAGCAGAAAATTCTGAAGGAATCAGTCCCAGGGTATGAAAACCTAAACTACAATTGATAAATTACTGGAGGCCCGGTATAGGAAAACCTCAGAGTAAAAAACTCCAGCCCCTTCAGTGATTTGTTCCCCCCACATTTTTGTGAGTTCTACCGGTTTTCACAGTGATTACCAGTAAAGAATCCCCTCATGCTTCTTACAGGAGGAGGGAAAAAGAAACCATTTTGAAATAAGTCAGAGTATTCTGTTCTTGTTAACAAGAAATTACTTAACCAGAACAGGTTAACAAGAGCCTAACCTGCTTTGGTTATATCAGAGCCTAACTGACGTTAGAGAAGGGAAACACACAGCTCTTGCCCACTCTGGCCCACTGCCAGCCATCCAGAAATGGACAGATCCAGCAGCCAAAAAACTAGTAAAGACATAATTGAACTAAACAGTACCATCAACTGGATATAATGGACACCTATAGACTACTTCATACAGCAAGAGCAGGTTACACATTCTTCTCAAGCTCACATGGAACTTATACCAAGATAGACCACATTCTGGGCCACAAAACATACCTTAACAAATTTTTAAAGATAGAAATCATACAATGTCTACTCTCAGACCACAATGGAATTAAGCTAGAAATTAAAAACAGAAAAATAACTGGAAAATACCAAAACATTTAGAGCTTAAACAACACACTTCTAAATAATATATGAGGCAAAGAAGAAATCTCAGAAGACATTAAAAAATGCTTTGAACTAAATGAAAATGAAAACACAACATATCAAATTTGTGAGATGTAGTGAAAGCAATGCTTACAAGGAAAATTATATCACTGAATGCATGTCTTACAAAAAAATATATATAAAATCAACCTAAGCTTTTGCCTTAAGAAACTAGGAAATGAGCAAATTAAATCCAAAGAGCAGAACAAAAAGCAATAATAAAAATCAGAGCAGAAATGAATGAAATTGAGGACAGATCAATAGAGAACAATTTTAAAAACCAAATTCTGATTCTTTGAAAAGATCAATAAAATAATAAGCATCTAGCCTGGAAAACTAAAAAAAACAGAGACGATACAAATAACTAATACCAGAAATGAAGGGAACATCACTATAGATCCCATGGAAACGATAACAAAGGAATATTATGAATAACTCTGTGCCACAAATTTGATAAACCAAATGAAATGGACCAATTTTTTGAAAGATGTCTGCCAAACTCACACAAGAACAAATAGACAATTAGAATAGGTCTATATCAATTAAAGAAATTAAAGCAATAATTAATAACCTTCCAAAACAGAAAGCACCAGGCCCAGATGGGTTCACTGGTGAATTTTATCAAATACTTAAAGAAGAAATTATACCATTCTCTACAGCCTTTTCCAGAAGATAGAAAAAGAGGGAATACTTCCTAACATTCTATGAGGCCAACATTACCCCAATACCAAAACCAGACAAGGAAATTATAAGAAAAGAAAACTATACACCAATATGTTTAAAGAACACAGATGAAAGAAATCCTCCACAAAATATTAGCAAATATAATCTAATAATGTCTAAAAAGAATTACACACTATGACCAACTGGAATTTATCCAGGTATGCAAGGCTGACCAGAAATTTGAAAATCACATTGGTGGTAGCGGGGAGGGAGAGGGGTATAGGGAGAAATTGGACAAGGGGCATAAAGAATAAGTATAATTTGTAACAATATACACACTAGTCATATTGTTTTGATCAACAGATGTCAACATTAGATCCCAAAAACATGTATAATCAATTGATTCAATAAAAAAAAAAAAGAAACCTGAAATTCAATTAAAGCAATCCATTGCACCAACAGGCTAAAGAAGAAAAACAACACAATCATATCAATAGATACAGAAAAGGCATTTGACAAAATCCAACATCCATTCATGATAGAAAAACAAAAAAATCTCAGCACATTACGAAGAGAAGGGAACTCCTTCAACTTGATTAACATCTACAAAAAACCTACAGCTAACATCATAATTAATAGTGAGTAACTAGAAATTTTCCCACTATGAGGAGAAACAAGGCTGGTTAAAGCATGGTGTTACAACACCATAGTCAAGGGTTTGGATCCCCATACCAGTCAGCTGCCCAAAAATAAAATAAAAAAAGAAGAATCAACATATTCATGATGTTTAGTTTTCCTGTAAAAGTATATTTCCATTAGCTCAGTTGGTTAGAACTCAGTGTTGTAACACCAAGGTTAAAGGTTCAAATCCCTATACAGGCCAACCACAACCCCCAAAAAAGCAACAAGTCAGGATGTCCCCCCTCACCATTTCTTTTCAACCAACCTAATGCAATAAGACAAGAAGAGGAAATAAAAAGTATACCAACTATGAAGGAAGAAATAAAACTGACTTTATTTGCAGATGACATGATTGTCTACATAGAAAACCCAAGAGTGGATCAAATAACACCAGGAACTAATAAGCAATTATAGTAAGGCTGCAGTACAGAATAGAGCTCAGAAATAGACTTACATAAATATAGTCAAATGATCTTAGATAAAGCAGTGAAGACAATACAATGGTGCAAAGGTAGTCTTTTTCAATAAATGTTGCTCTAACTGTCCACATGTAAAAATATGAGCACATACCTAAATGTAAAAATACAAAACTATAAAGCTCCTGGACGATAACATAGAGGAAAATCTTAGATAACCTTGGGTTTGGCAATGACTTTTCTGCTTTGTGAAATGCGAAAGACAATGTGTCAAGAGAATGAGAACAAGCCACAGACTGGGAGCAAACATTTCCAAAAGACATTATCTGGATAATGGACTGTTACATAAAATATAAAAAGAACTCTTAAAAGTCAACAATAAGAAAATAAACAACCCAAGTAAAAAATGGGCCAAATACCTTAACAGACACCTCACCAAAGAAGACTCACAGATGGCAAATAATCATATGAAAAGATCATTGTAAAAAGGAATGCAAGATGGTATAGCCACTGTGGAAGACAGTTTGGTGGTTTCTCACAAAACTAAATATACTTTTACCATACCATCCAGCTATCATGCTCCTGAGTATTAACTCAAAGGAGCTGGAAACATGTCCACACAAAGATCTGCACATGGACGTTTATAGCAACTTTATCCAAAACTGCCAAAACATGGAAGCACCCAAGATGTCCTTCAGTAGACAAACGGATAAACTGGAGTAAATATAGACAATGGAATATTATTCAGCACTAAAAAGAAACGAGCTAATAAGCTATGAAAATACATGGAGGAAACTTGAATGCATATTGTTAAGTGAAAGAAGATAATCTGAAAAGGCTACATATCGTGTGATTCTGACTACATGACATTCTGGAAAAAGCAAAACTATGAACGCAGTAAAAAGATCAGTGGTTGCCAGGGATTATGGAGGAAGGAGGGATGATGAACAGATGAAGCACAGTGGATCTGTCAGGCAGTTAAACTACTGAATATGATACTCTAATGAGAAATCCATGTCATTACACATTTGTCCAAAACCACAGAATGTATAACACCAAGAGTGAACCCAAATGTAAACTATGGACATTAGGTGATAATGATGTGTCAGTGAAGGGTCATCAATTATAACAAATGTACTACTTTGGTGGGAGATGTTAATAATGGGGGAGGCTATGCATGTGTGGGGGTAGAAGGTACATAGAAAATCTCTATACCTTATGCTCAATTTTGCTGTGAACCTAAAATAGTCTATTTAGAAAAAAAAAATTACAGAATGGTAAAGAGTGGCCTCAAAGGATATATTAGCAGGCCCTGACATAACATATAATCATGAGAAACATAAGCATTATTTTAGCGTACTTATGGATTAACCCAAAGCTATGCATGTTTCATCAATAAAACTTGAAATGCTTCCCCCAGGAATGTGGACTTGTCCAGTAGAAGAACCTCACCTTGGATTTATTCCAAAAGAGGCTCTCAAATGCTCAGCAGCAACTCCTGAAAGGAGGCCAGTCCAACTCTAGTAGGATAAATCCCCCCAAAAAGTGGAATCTCTGATCATAGCAACAGGTGACCCTTGCTGTGAAGTTAGAGGATAGGTACACAAATAAATTTATATGATTTTACTAAATTTTAAAAATGCAAATGTTAGCACATGTGCATTATAACCTTAGGAATGAGCAGTAAAGGTTTAAAGTGTCGATCTTTAACTAGAATATACACTGGGTATTATAGAATTACCCTCAATCTTAAATAATTAAACCAGGGACTTCTAACTAAAAGTGCAAAGTCATGAATATTTCTCTGTGGCCAGAGTATAAGTAACACAGTATACTGAGATATACAGCCCATTTTAAAGTATTAATCTGAAAAATCTCCAGAGAAATTTATAATGGATGTCTCTTACCTCATAAATGTTGGGATGCCACATTTTGGTCAAGAATCTGAAGGTAGGTGGTGAATATGGGTAGTCAATAGGAAATTTAATATGCGCCTGAAAAGAAAAAAAATGACATGCTAATAAACAAGACTACAATTTATTCATCTGCCTAATAATTTGCCCTATTATATCCTAGAGAAAGCCACTTTCTAAAGAATAGACTCTTGAGATTAAAATAGTTCATACATACTTTGTTATCCTCAGTGTCAGGGTTATGAGCATGTTCTTGTAGCATCCCTTCAAATACTTATAAAAGTCTATGTTAAATCACCAAAACTTACAGCTATATAATTTTTAATTTAATTCACATGAGTGAAAAACAGTACTATGTACAGGTATGCCCATTACTATATTTTATTTTTATAACAAAAAAATTAATATAATCTCAGGGTACAGAATATAGAACATTTTTTTTATTCACATAATTTAACCACCATCTTATCAATAATAAATACTAATTTGGGGGGGGGGGGGCGGGGGTACAGCTAGCCAGTATGGGGATCCAAACTCTTGATCTTAGTGTTATCAACACCATGCTCTAACCAACTGAGCTAACTGTCCAGCCCTTAAATGCTCACATTTTGATGTAGCTTCCTGTAGTAGTTTTTCATTTCACACATATGCACATTTCTTTACACAACTTACTTTTAAAAATTTGAACATACTGTATTTTGTACTGCTTTTTTCACCTGTAACATACCATGAACATTTTCTTTTTTTTTTTTTCCTTTTTGTCTTTTTTCGTGACCAGCAACGGATCGCAACCCTCAGTGTCGCGCCCGTACCGGACCGGGACCGGCAAGGGGATCGCAACCCTCGGCGCTGCATCTGCACCCCGCTCAGCCAGTGAGCAGCCGGTCTGTATGTGGGATCCGAACCCTCGGCGGGAGTGCCGCCGCGCTTCCCAAGTGGCGCACTGTAGCAGTGCGCCACTGGGCCGGCCCCCTGCAGGAGCTTTTAAACAAACAGCTCACATTCAAAGTGGAAACCAGTAACCTGGCAGGCACTGGTGGGAACAGAATAGGCTGAAACTTCTTCAAAGTCCTACTCACAGAGAACTGTCATTATTTGACAGTTCTTTCTGGTGGTTCCCTTAGAAGACCCCACTTGCAAGGCTGTCTGTATTTGACAGGATTTGAAGCACGGCCAATGTGAAAATGATTTCCATGGCAGCACTAGTTGAAAACAATGGCTGGCAATTGTTTAACTTCAAAGCTGTCTGAGGCAGTGGAAAACAGATAAAACAACAGACCAACCAAAAAACTTAAGAGGGAAATCTGGGGTATGAGATGTCCATTAGAGCTTTGAAAAGCTCTGACAAATTCCTATGAATCTAGAAGACCATGCCAACATGTAGGGTTGTGTACACGCCCAGGGCTATATGCATGCCCAGGAAAGACATGAGAAGGCCCTAAGCTCACACTTCGGGCTTAACTTAAGTATCTGCACAAGCAGGAAGTGAAGGTTAATACAGAGTTTGCAACTCCCTGGCTGAGTGTTATAAGTTTACCCCAATACACACACAGAGCCCCTCCACAAAGCCCAACTAACTGGTTCCAAAAAATTAAGGAAATCTCTGTCCAATCATTAACTGATCACTAAGCTAATCAAGTAAAGAATTCACTGGCCACACATGACAAGGCATATAGACATTACAGAATTAGGTAAGAAAAGTCACTAAGAAGGCAAACAACAATTACAATAGATAGCAACAACAACCAAACCAAACCAAACCCCAGGGAAGGGGAAAATCTGACCACAGTATTATTTAAACCAGTTTACTGAACCACAGTATATTATTTAAATATCCCTTTTTCAAGAAAATATGACAAGACATGAAAAGACACGAAGACATGAAAAGACATGGTCCATACACAGAGTGAAAAAGCAATCAATAGAAACTGGAGGCCCTGATGTTGAATTTACTAGACAAAGACTTTAAATTGGCTACTTTAAATATTTCAAAGGACTAAAGGAAACCATGGCTAAAGAACTAAAGGAATGCATAAGAACAATGTGTCATTAAACAGAGAATATCGATAAAGAGATAAGTTACTTGGAATGTTTCTTTAATTTCTAGATAGCTTGAAGTTACTGTTTTGACTTTTATCTGTTTGTTTATTTTGGGGCAGCTGGCCACTAAGGGGATCCAAATCCTTGATCTTGGTGTTACAAGACTGTGCTCCACCCAACTGTGCTAACCGGCCCGCTGTATAAAGAGATAAATCATTTTTTAAAATCCACATGGAAATTCTGAAGTTGTGAAGTACAACATAACTAAAATAAAAAATCTGCTAGAGGGGCTAAACAACAGATTTGAGCAAATGGAAGAAAGAATTAGTAAGCTTGAAGACAGGTCAATTTAAATTATTCAGGGCTTCCTGGTTATCTCAGTTGGTGAGAGCACAGCCTTATAACACCAAGGTCAAGGTTTAGTTAACCATCTGGCCAGCTGCCAAAAAAAAAAGGAAAACAATTATCCAGTTGGAGGAACAGAAATAAAAAACAATAAACAGAGACACGTGGGACATCTTCATTCTCACTAACAATGCACACTGAGAATCCCAGGAGATGAGAGAAACAAAGAAGCACAAAAAATATATGAAGAAATAGTGGCTGAAAATGTCCCAAATTTGATGAAAAACATTAACCATTACATTCAAGAAGCTCAACAAACTCCAAGCAGAATAAACTCACAGATCCACACGTAAGCACATCATAATCACACTGCTGATAGCTAGCCAAAGACAGAATCTGGAAAGCTGCAAGAGAAAAGCAATACATTACATACAAGGGATCCTCAATAAGATAAATAGCTGATTTCTCATCAGAAATCAGGAAGCCACAAGGCAGTGGAATGACATATTCTAAGTGTTGAAAGAAAAACAACCTATCAACCAAGAAATCTATATCCAGCAAAGCCGTTTTTCATAAATGAAGGTAAATAAACAAAAACTGAGAGAATCTGTGACTAGCAGACCTTCCCTATAAGAAATACTAAAGGAATTCCTTTAGGCTGAAATAAAAGGACATTTAGTACACAAAACAACATGAAGAAAGATGGGACTGGCTGATTAGCTCAGCTGGTTAGAGTACAGCCTTTTAACACCAATGTCATAGGTTTGGATGCCCATAACAGCCAGCCACCCCCCTAAAAAACAAAAACAAAAACCAAACCAAACAAACAAAAAAACCCAAATAAACATGAAGAAAGAGGACATAGGTAAACATAAGAGAAAATACAAATGTATTTTTTGGTTGTAACTTTTTTCTCCTATCTGATTTAAAAAACAATCACATAAAAATATAATTATAAATTTGCATTTATGAGCACAAAATATATAAAGGCACAATTTGTATGACAATAATAGAACAAAGTAAGGGGGAGGGAACAGAGATATTATAGGAACAAACTTTTTGTATACTACTAAAATTAAGTTGGTATTAATTTGAACTAGATGGTTTAAGTTAGGATGTTAACCATAATCCCTAGGGTAACCACTAAGAAAATAACTCAAAAATTAATTCAATACCCCTTTGTGTTAAAAAAGCCAATGAAACAGGGATATAAGAAAAATTCCTGAACATGATAAAGAACATCCTATTTTAAAAACAAAACTATTAGGGGCTGGCCCATGGCTCACTTGGGAGAGTGTGGTGCTGATAACACCTAGGCCATGGGTTCAGATCCCTATATAGGGATGGCCGGTTAGCTCACTTGGGAGAGTGTGGTGCTGATAACACCTAGGCCATGGGTTCAGATCCCTATATAGGGATGGCCGGTTAGCTCACTTGGGAGAGTGTGGTGCTAACAACACCAAGTCAAGGTTAAGATTCTCTTACCGGTCATCTTTAAAAAAAAACAAAACAAAACTATTAGAACTAATAAGTTCAGTAAGATTGTAGGATATAAGATCAATATACAAGTACAAGCATTAATTATATTTCTGTATAGTAGCACTGAACAAATCAAAAATGAAATTAAGAAAACAATTCCACTTCGAACAGCTTCAGAAAGAATAAATACTTAGCAATAGATTTAACAAAAGAAATTAAAAACTTATACTATGGAAAGTACAAAAGATTGTTGAAATAAATGGAAAGATATTGCATGTTCATGGTTGCAAGACAATATTGTTGAGATGACAATCCTCCCCAAACTGATCTACAGATTCAATGTAATCCTATGAAAACCCTGCCTGCCTTCTTTTCAGAACTGAAAAAGCTGCTACTAAAATTCATATAGAAATTCACGGGACTCAGAATAGTCAAAAAAAATTTTGAAAACAACAAAGTTGGATGACTCACACGTTGCAATTTTAAAACTTATTACTAATCTACAGTAATCAAGACAGTTTGGTATTAGCATAAAGACCACAGATGTATAAATCAATAGAATAAAATTAGGAGTACAGAAATAAACCCTCACATTTATGATCAATTTATTTTCAACAAGTGTATCAGAACAATTCAAAGGGGTGGGAGGAGTCTTTTCAACAAATGTTACTGAGAGTTAGCTCACTTGGTTAGACTGTGGTGCTGATGATACCAAAGTCAAGGATTCAGATTCCCATACCCACCAGCCACCAAAACAAAAAGGGCACTGAGAAAATTGGATATTCACATACAAAAGAATTAATTTGGACTCCTACTTCACACCATATACAAAAATGAACTCAAAATGGACCCAAAGATAAGAATGAAAACTACAAAACTCTTACAAGAAAACATAGGTGTAAATCTACATAAACTTGGACTAGTCAATAGTTTCCTAGATATGACACCAAAAGCACAAGGAACAAAAGTAAAAATAGTTAAATTGGGCACGATTAAAATTAAAAACTTTTGTGCTTCAAAAGATGCAATAAAGGGCCGGCCCGGTGGTGCACTGTTACAGTGCGCCGCTTGAGAGCGTGGCGGCGCTCCCGCCGAGGGTTCGGATCCCACATACAGACCGGTTCCCGCTCACTGGCTGAGCGAGGTGCGGGCGCAACACCGAGGGTTGCGATCCCGTTGCCGGTCCCGGTCCGGTACGGGCGCGACACTGAGGGTTG